TCGTAATTTATTACAATTTTATCAAATTAGAGCAAGTAAATATAAAATTTTTTAATTATAACTTTATAGCATTTTTATTAATAAAATATTGATTATTTCTAAAACAATAAAGTAATATTTTTGAAAGATATTTTAGTACGCTGAAGATATAAATAACATATATTGAAAGTAGCAGTAAAATAAAATATGAGATGCAAACGTCTATAAATCAAATTTTTCATCCAAAAATAGAAATATAGCAATTAACTAGCCCATTTTTTATTATTATTTTTTTAATTTTCTGTTAATGCTTCAATGTGTTATGAAGATTAAGTAAACAAATTTTAATTTAATTATTAAAATATTTTATAACATATGTGGATTACGTAGATAAAATTTTAAAAGTATCTATTTCATAATTTAAATGATATAAGCCAATTTAATTTAATGTAAGATCGAATTCTAGATCTTATTAGTAAATCCAGTTAGAGTTTGGAAATATATTTATTGTTGAATTCCCGTTCGATTATTCGAAATATTTGCTTAATTCCTTACGTACCAATTAAATCTAACTGACTTGTATTAAAAAAAGATGAATATCATATATAATTTCACTTAAATATGCATTTAAATATCCTGAAAAGGAAGAAATCTATTGTAACTGAAAGAGCATTTACTTTATACGAAAAATAATTAAGATTGTTTTAAAGTATTTCAATATTTTATTGGAATGAGCGTTTTTTAATCGTTCAGGTTAACAATAACAACATTTTTTTTAGTTTTTCTTATAACAAATCTAAAGGAAACAAGCTGTTATTTTCCAATTTGTGAACTATCTCAAATTGAAGGACTCTTCTCAAATATAAGAAGCTATAAAGAGGCAGAAAAGTGATTTTCAAGTATACACATTGAAGAATTTTATCGTCTTTTGTTGTCAGAAGTCTACGATGTTTATCTGACAAAATCATTAAAGTTTATCTTGTATTTTTCTACATCACATCAAAATTTTTAAACAATTGATTCAGAACTTAACAATTTTCCTGGAAGTTTTAAGATTTGAAATATAAACTACACGTTATAGAATTATGTTAATGATTTCTCATGTTTTTTAAATAATTCTTTATAGAAAGTACATGCAAATTTGTTTAAATTCAACAGTAATATCTAATGAAAGTTTAAGTTAATTTAAAACAATTTAGTTATAAACAAAATAGACTGCCTTTTTTTATATATTTTATGATGTATTCTAAATGTACACTTGAAAATTATGAAGTTTTTGTTTTATTTAATCTTATTTTTTAATTCTTATGCTCCAAGTACTAACAAAAACAAAAATTTCTAATACATTTTAATGATGATTTCCTCAATTATTTTATTTTTAAAATTTATACAGCTTTCATAATTACATATCAAAAAGAATTACAGTAAATACTGTGTGAACAGATAATGATAACCTATACAATGTTAGTTATCGTCTCTTTAACAATACTAGACTATAACAAGTATATTATCTTCTAATAAAATGACTGTCGACTTCGAGTTATAATGAGAAGAGTTGACAATTCTGACGGAAGAGATGTATTCTAGCATATTTCCTGCAATGATCACACGACATCACATTAGCAAATTTGATATCTAGTAAAATCAGATGTAGAATATTATTAACGAATCTGATATAGTACGTCTAAAGCAAAATTTTTAGTGTTTTAAACCGAGTAA